AGAATTAACATTTTGTTATTAAAAATAGGAAAAATGACAACATGTCATGTAAAAAGGGGTCCCTTGTAGTTATAAAAACCCACACTGAATTATTGCCACCATTTCCCCTCAGATTTATGGAGCGTTGTTCAGCAAAAAAATGTCAAATTAACCCGTCTCACCTGAATGAATGAAGCAGATAATAGAAAACAAAATGTAGTTGGAAGTTAAACAACAGTGAAAACTGGGCTAATATGTGTCAGTGGGACAGAAACATGAGTTATTGATCCGTGTCTCCAGGACCTGTAAACAAGTCAATGTTTGCTAGCACGTTGCTTGATTATAAGCTTTGATTATGCCCCTCCCTGTGAGCCCAGTGGCCGTCTACTCTAGGAGACAGCGAGACACAGCCCGAAACACACACACACCCGCAGCCTGGCTGGGAGTTTGTGTGTGTGCTCACAGCCTCGCCGCGTCCCGCCGTCTCAGGGAGGAGAAGTCGGCGGAGCTGCAGCTGAGGAAAGATTGAGTGTGTGTGTGTGAAGAAGTGGATGTGTGTTCGACTTCTGGGTTTAACGTAACGGCTCCGCGGATTGGTCCATTTGGGTATGGGCACGTCACTGTACCCAGGAAGAGAAAGAGAAATGTCCAACGAGGCGTTCTGGGGCAGCAGACAGGTCTTCTCTGTGTTAGAGTTGTACTCGCTACAGGGTGTACTTTGAGGGTTTGTGACTCTGCAGACCGTTTACATGCAGAAAAAGCTTCATAACACACAAGGAGGTAATAAGCGGAAAAGCATGACATGGGACCTTTAAGTTCGGTCTTTATTTTCTCGTGTTCGACTTCTGCTACGATTTAATCTTTATTCTTTATGTAGGAATGATTCAGTAAGTCCCTCTATCACCTGCAGCTTTTTCTAAATGCAGCCGCAGAACTCCTCTCACTGGTACCAGAGAGAGAGAGAGACATTTTAGATTTAGATTTCTTAAGATTTCTCATTTGTTTTTTAAGCACTGCATGGACTGGCTGCTGTCCACTACACGACCTCCTGACCCCTTTGTTTTCGAATTAGAAAACACTTTCAGTTTAAAGCTTGGTTATACATTGCACATACATGTATTGGCCTACTGTCTAATCACGGTCCAGAGGGACATTTCTGTGCTTAAAATGGGAAAATTCAGGATAAAAGTTAATGTATTACTTCTGTGACAATAAAAAGTCTGACCTTAATGGAAACACAACCTGCTTGCTCTTATTATGATTGTCTTTAAACTGGATCTATAATGCTATATTTGAATAATATAGTGTAGGACTATACCTATATAAGGCATATTTATACTTTTTATTTTTCAAAATACCAAACAGATCATGCATTTTAGCCATTCCTCATTTCGCTCAATTTAACACTGTCTCTGCATGGGCTGATTCAGTGAGAACAGCACCATCTACAGGTCTGGCATATGTACTACAGCGTCTCCAGCGCTTTCCAACGGCAATGTCCGTGGCTGTCTCCTCCTGATTGGTGGAGTTGGCCCAAAACCGTAGCGCCACTTCTGTGACGTCATAGCAGTGTTCAAATCTGGATCAGTCTGTATCAGATCCATTGCAGCCCCTTTTTAAGAGATTTGGGTATGGAGGAAAAGAGAGAGGGTTGTGTTTTCTGACACTTGGTGAGTTCCCTGGAACACCGGGGACACATATTCATGTATACAAGACGTACAAAAGTGCATTTTGCATGATAGGTCAACTAAATGAAAAAAAGGTACAGGGGTTTCAAGTCAGTTTATTACATAATGACATTATAAAATATGCAGAAATATGCAACACAGGACAGATAGGGCTCTTCTTATTGGCTCTTCTTAAACACTTGGTGGCAGACTTTGTCGAGCACGTGGATTTCCTGAAAGAGAACAGACCTTTAGACTGTGAGTTCAACATGATGCAACGAATGTCTCTTAAAACACAATCAGGCAGATTACATCTACAGCTGTTATAGATAGCGCTTCAATATCTCGTTTATTGTCATTGCGATAATGTAAATCTAATCGAGGGTTGGGAAATATTTTATCTTCAGTAGGTGAAGGGAGAAAGTGTTTTTCCTTTTGAATAATCTTATCTGGGTCAGCTAAAAAGAGTGCATGTAGTTCATTAAAGGTCCCCTATTATACTGTTGTTCATCAATATATTATAGGTCTCAGATATATCCAGAACCTGTCTCTGAAGTGTTTGGCTCCAAAACCAAACAGATCATTGCAGCATTACCCATAATCCCCTCTGTTTCAGCCCTGTTTCCAAAGTGCTGATTCTCTGTCTGTTACTTTAGGTGAAAATAAGGAGACAGGAACAAGTGGATTTTGCATAATAGGTGACCTTTAAGAAAATATTTAATTTCCTGGCAAATCTGTAAAACTTTTACAACTTTTCTCTTATTTTATGTCACTTTTTTTCTCACCAGGTGTAGCACATCTCCCTCGAGCCAGTGCTTCCAGCCCCGATTTGCTTTCTCGCCCTTCTGAACACACACCAGCTTGTCCCCATCCCAGGTGACCGTTGTCTTTATAACCACAAAAACACACATAGTGGTTATTACTCAAATGTAGTGTTTTACAAGTGATGACAAATAAACTACGGAAGCACTTTGGTGTAAAAAAATAACCTACCATGACCTTCCGGTTGTCCAGGCCCTTTGTTTGCTCCTCGAACTCCTCCCCGATGGTGAAGTTGACCTCGTAGTTCCTGAAGGTGCTTAGCGTCTTCGTCTCAAACTTGTCTCCGTTCTGCACGATCACCTTGGTCTGGTGCAGGTGGGACGCTATCTTTCTGGTGGCAAAGTCAATGTCTGCGAGTACAGGAGTGAATATCAGCGTTAGAAGAGAGAACCAGTCAGCAAGTATTGGACTCAAGTATGATTTTAACATTCTTTTCATTTACTTGAGTATTTCCATTTCGTTATACTTAATTATTTTTACTTTACTACGTGTATTTTGAAACTTTAGTTACTTATATTAAGATTTTGCATTAAAAACATGTGTGAAGAGGCTAAGCCAGAGCTTTAAGCCACTGAGGATCCGCTTTGTTTACGTAATTGACGCACACCTGAGCTTGAAGAAGTCAGATACAAAGTTTCCCGTTTAACTCTCAGTCTATTTATCGTCAAGTTATCGTTAAATCACTTTTTTCATTCAGCATACAAAAATGACACTTATACACAATGACACCAAACTTCACCTTAGCATAGAAGATGTGTGTATGTGTGCTTTGGTGTGTTTGGTCAAAAATGGTTGAGTAAGCAAACATGAGTTCCTTCTTTTATGCCCTGAGCTCTAATTGGCCGTTATCATCTCTAACGATTAACCGGTGCTATGACTGTTTGAGATATAAAAAGATAAAAATATCAAATTTATTGCAAAAAAAATTGATAGAAAGTCTTAACATCAATTTTTTGTTTATCACAATTTAGTTTGTCTTTAACAGTAAAATAACAACATGAACAACCTAATAATGTCACATAAATGATAATATATCACGAATGGAGGCCATTTTTCTGCAGAATAAATACTTGAAGTAATTTTTGCTGATGTGTCCGTACTTTACTTAAAGGTCACCTATCATGCTATCTTTAGGCAGTAGCATAGGTCTCAGATATAAAAAATATATATAAAAAACATGTCTATGAAGTGTTTTGCTCAAAATACCAAACAGATCACCCATTCTAGCCTCTATTTCACTTCCTGTTTCAAAAGTGCTGACTTGGGGTATAAAGCTTTTTAAAAAAAATGTTGATAAAAAAGGAGGGGGCTGAGCTCATGCGGGACCCGGCAGCTACTGTCTAAACTAAATACTGCCGTGATGAAACGCCATATCATGGATTATCAAGGATTATTTCTGAAACAGTATGGAGCTCAAAGGCTTTCTCTCTTGCCGGTTATACCACAAGGTGAGTTCCTTTTTATTTCCTGCTTCTTCACACACATGCTCTCCAGTACAGGTTAGCTCTGAGTGTTAGCGATGCTAATGTAAACACCGACCATATTACGTCCAAAACAGTCGGGCATTGTTTCTGATAGCAACGTTTCTGATTGGGCCGTGGGTCCACATTTCAGATATTACGTCATATCAGGCGCAAATCTGGATCAGCTCCGTTGTTCCCCGTTTTTAGAGATTTGGGTACGGAGGAAAAGAGAGAGGGTTTTATTTTCTGACGCTGCGTGAGTTCCCCGACACACCGGGGACACATGATGTATAAAAGACATCAAGAAAGTGCATTTTGCATGATAGGTCCCC